CTTTGGTCAGCGAACGGATATCTCGCCTACGCCATAAACGGCATAAATTAGCAGATAAGTGAAGCGATGGACACGCTCAGTCGCTTCACTTCCTATCACTATTTCAGGTGCCGACACAAGCCAGTCGTGAAGCATTTCGAGGGTGAGAACCGCATCCAGAACATGCTTGCATTGTTGCTTAGTGTGGTCAGAAGACTTTGCATTTTGTCAGCGTCTTCACCAAATAGAACTATGTCATCGGCATATTCTAGGTCAGTAAGCGATCCTCCTGGTAGGAGGCCTACCCCCAAACAAATTTGACGAGGATAATGTTAACTCCAAAAGCATGTCTACGACAAAGTTAAACAAGAATAGAGAGAGTGGACATCCCTGACGGACATCACCTGGAGTAGAGAATTCCGATGTTAGTTCGTCATTGCCTCTCACTCGACCAGTGGTGTTCGAGTAGAGAGCTTGTATACTTGTAATTCAGTAATACTTGGTATTGCTACGTTATTCTACTAATATTATTACACAATAGTAAGAACGGTCATTAGGATTAGTACTAAAACTAGCGGTTTACATTCAACGAATTTAGAATTCAGAAATAAATTGTCCCGAAAAATAAATCCCGTATTGAATGATCAGTACGCTGAAATGACTGTCTGTCTGTCTATCCATCCGCTATCGTCGTCGGTCAGTTCCATTTTACTTTCACCACTTCATTCACTACAACGCACTGATATGAATTGGAATTTATTCACTTTTGTTTTACAGATTTCTTTTTAAATTCCGCTCATTACCGTAATTAGTTTTATTAAGGAAAAAAGAAATACCACAACAACCACAACAATTCACTGTCGCCTCTAAAAATGAATAAATTGAAATTTTGCCAGAGATAAAAATTGTTAGCAAAACATTACTGTCGCCAAATTGATGTAAAACTAGTCATGTGTATGAAAATCAATCTTACTTTACTCACCATTTTTGCTCAGAATTGAGCAAAACGTTTTAAGAAAACAAGGTTGTATATTAGTCTTTCTTTCAATTTTTACATTAATTAGGCAAATTAAAATTTGTGAAAAAAACAACAACCAAAAACTCACCGATGTCACGTGTTATGTAATAGCTATGCATGTGTGAAAATCTGAGTACATTATACATGTTCACCACACATGTACAATGTAACAAAAGCGTCTAATTGTTTTGTTTTTTTTCGAAAAACAACTTTAAATGTTTTAAGCATGATAGAAAAAGTGTGTTCTTTCTTGCTTTTCTCTTTATTTTTTTAAATTTTTAATGATGGAAATGTTACACTAAACGATAAAAATAGATTGTTCCATTCTGATTGACTCGGTCTGTTACGCTCGTCTCTAGGTATGCGTAAACTATTACGGGTTCACCTTAGTCGAATAATGAGAACGAGTCAATGAACCAGCGTCCAGGTAGGCTACTCTGATCCCTTGACCGAAAGGTATCTGCGAGAAATCTTGATATAGTGTAGACATTGTATTCTACAAACACCCAACCAGCACACACAATGAATCCAAGCACACAGATCGCCTTTATTTATACACCATATAGACGTCCTTGGAAGAGTCACAAAAATACCACACTAAAATGACATAGTAACCGGTCACAGCTAAGGATTTTCCTGTTGGGAAATGTGATCTCCAGGTCAATTGACCAATCCATGAAATAAATCCAAAATAAAGATATTTATCAAGTGAGCTCTGGGGATCTAATATCCCCAACGCGGTCTTAGTTGGTTTCTTTTGTAACCATCAGTTTATACTTACTTACTTATGTACTTACTTACTTTAGCCTGTTAGCCCGAATAGAGCATAGACCGCCCACCAGTTTTCTCCAACTAACTCTGTCCTGGGTTTCCCAATCCGCTTCTGTCAAGTTTTCGTTCATTCTTTTCATGTCTTTCTCTATTTCTCGGCATAATGTGCTTCTTGGCCTTACTCTTTTCCTTTTACCTTGACGGTTCCATATGAAGGCTTGTCTTGTGACGCAGTTGGGTGCTTTTTGCAGTATGTGTCCTATAAGGCTTTTATCATTTCCTTATATAGACTTTTGACAAAAATCATAAAACGAATAGCAAAAATTTTCTTTCCGCATGAATGAAGAAATTAGCAAGTCAGACTGTAAAATTGATAAAAGAATTCCCTAACGTAAATATTAATACTATCGATCTTTCCCGTTATCCATTTTTCGGTAAACTATTCCTGAAATCATGAATCGATTGTCGTTAGAAAACCATTATATAGCCGGCAGCACTGGACGGCCGTTCCGTTCCACAATGGGACTCATCAGCAGTGTGCATCCACGACTCCTGCTACCAAGAGAATTCAAACCCGAGGACCTTGGGTCTCGCGCCTTAACGTCTAACATCTGCACCACTGGGCTGGCATCCAACGGTGTCAATGTCTAATCCTAATCAGACTAGGGATTTTATGCAAACTTACCAGTTTGTCTTCGGCAGTTACTGCCTACACCCAACTCGGTTGAACTCCTTTGCTCACCTCTCACTAGAACTCCGAGAGATTTCTCACGATGCTACTACCTGATGAGCACATTGTACGATTTCTCAGTATTGAATTAGAGAGATTGTTGTGTATTGCAGAAATGATGAATTAATCAGTTTTTTTAAAAAGCGACCAGTTAAATTTAAAGTGTAAGAAATTGGTAATCAATTTTTTTCGAAGACAAATACTGAACATAGAAAAAGAGCACAAGTAACAAGCTACTAGGTGTATTTATGTTCAACAACTTCATCATATCATAATTTACCTGATTCCTTACTTGGGAAACATTGTCTCCATTCTGTAATGTATAATTTATTTGATTAGATAATATTATTAATTTGAAAAGAAAAATGTTGGATTTTTCATGGCCATTAAAAAAAAGCAAAACTTTCCTCTTTCTTGTAGTAACCAGATTTATGTAAACATAATCAATATTGGTTGTTTCGACTGAACATTGAACCAAATCACTTGTGACACATATTGAACAATGAATGGTAAATTTTTTTTCATCTTGTCTTCATATGTTGTATTTTAGATGTAGAAGGAAAAGAAAGAAATCTTAAAATAATTGTAGTTTCATTCATTATCTTAAATTAAAGAAATTGTATATATTTTTATATTGATCGATAAAAACTTCAATGTTAGAACTGTCTACTTACTATATTTAAATATATATTTACTTACATGAGACAATCACTTACTGAGGTAGAGAGAGAATATTGAAAGGGATCAATAATATTTAGATTCATGACACTTGTGAATGTACGAGAAATACTATTTATTGAAATCATGAATCGATCGTTGTTAGATTGCCATTAGAAACCTGGAAGCATTGGACGGCCAGCTCAATGATCTAGAAGTTAAATGTTTGCATGTGAGATTTAAGGTCCTGGGTTCGATTCCCTCGTGCAGGGGTTATCTGAACAGCTTTATCCCGTATTTTATTATGCTTCAGAAGCTTTTGAGTTTGTAACGGTTTTCTGAACACTTAAACCAGGGTTATAAGTTCATATTCCTATAGCTTCTGTTAGACATCGGGAACCCGGATTGAATCCCAATAAGAAAGAACGAATATTTGTGATAGATCACTAAAAATGAATCAATTCTATCCACAATTTGGGTCACTGTCAACCAAGTGTGCCGGAATAAAGCTGCGTATTGTCATTGTCTAGTCCTTCTGAACCAAGTTTAGAGATGTTCATTTGTTTGTAGTGCCTCTACATACATTTGAGTTCGTTCACAGCCAATTTGGTTAGGCCTTTTGACTAACTTACTTAACCCAGTCATTTGTGTGGAAATGAATTATATGCACCATTGTCTTTTACTATTGTCTGGTTCGTATGAGCTGGTACGCCTGAACATAGCTTACCGCATACGCGCATATTCATCCTACTCACTTTGATGTTAATCTCTTAAATATTTTGATTACTCATGAATTTTCTTATGTTTGTGTATTTATATGTATATGTACATTTTAATCTTATTAATTCATTCGCCAGTTCACTCGATAGTGTGCTTGTGGTTTGATGGTGCATTTGTGGTGGACCAAAAATAAACATATTCAACACTTCGTATTCGCCTTCAGATTTATAAACCGTACGGCGCTGTTTAGTAACGATTGTCTGGACGAGCAAATAAGGAAGTCTAAGAACACGTTGGATACCAAACGTCACGAAACTAGTGATACTTTGGCCACTATATGTTAATTAAGTTAATTGGTAGTACGCACAATGTAGCTATCTCCATGGGAGAAGCTAAATGTTTAGATGCATATCGAGTAGGCAAACTAAAGTAACTGATCTTTTGTTTGAATCGAGATCAGTAGCAACCATATTTCATTGCAAGATCGTTTAAACAGAATCTTTTATTAACTACTCTTTCGGGTCTATCACACAGGACATCATCTGTGAATTGTAGTTGTGGGAAGAAAGATTGCTTCCAAACGATCGAATTATCTGACTTATTCTCCGTGCTTTCATGCACTTCTTTAGCAAACCTAAGGAATAGCCGATTTCCGTCCGGAAGTCGTGATTTCTTGGTTTGTATATTTTGTAATCCAACTGATTTTAATTAGGCAGTCATTAAAAACCTATAAAGCATTTAACAAATTTCTCTTCTCACTATGAAAATTCCTACTGGATCATAGCTCAAAAATATCCATATTTTGTAGAGAGCTTCTAATATCAAAACCATTTCATGATGGTTTTGTGCAACTATCTTCCGGTTCAGTCAGTGGATGACTGCGTCACACTTGTCTGAGTGCATGTACATACAGCTGTTGTCACAACGAATCTGTAAAAAATCATTTTATTGTTTTCTTATAATAATCAAAATACAAAGTTTACATAGTTATCAATATAAAATTGTATTTCCTATTCTACAGAATGATGTATTCTTAACAAGACTACGTAGAAATTTTCCACATAAAACTAATCAAAATATTGAAATATACTACTTATCAAAAAAAAATAAATACAGGTCCAGAGAATTGCAACAACAACAAAGAGCAAAAGACGAGTGGAGGAAAACGAAGCAAAAAGTTAACATGACAAAATATGACAAGACAGTAAAGCTCTATGCTGTAATTCACATTTCCATCAGAAAAAATAGATGAGATCATGTAAATTTGTACATGGTTTTATGTTTCTACTTTTCATGGGATTAGATATATTCAATTCAACAAGTTCTTCATTAGCACATTTTACGCCATCATCAAATTCGATTGCACCCGTCTTGCTATCCGCCTTCGCCTCCGCCTCCTCGTCGTCATCATCCTCATCATCATTTTTGTCAAGTTCAAATGTATTCACTGCATCCAAACACAGAACATTGACCCCTTTTTCATTGAATAGATCGAAAAATAATCCAATATTAGACAAAACAGTCAATATCTACAATAATAATCATATTTATAAAGAATCATTCAAGCCTTTCCATAAACAAATCACTTATACACTTATTGAAGAATCCAATGTACCACAATTTATTGGGGATTTAATACAAGATTTTCATTTGACTAGTTTTTTATTAAATTATATTTTAAAAAGTCCTTCTTCTTCTTCTTCTTCATCTTCAACATTTCCATGGAGTAATCATAATAATTTAAATCAAAGTAAACAATTATTGAGCATTGATCTGATTGCTAGTCAATATCAAATTATCAAAGATATTAATAATACCGATTATTATTACAATAATTATGAACAATTACCACGACTGTATTTATTTCCATCAAATCAATGGAGTTCACAATATTTTCATATTAATTATCATAATGTATTTAAACAAGAATTAATACAAATTAAAAAATTAGATCGTGACAATTTATGTCGCCTGGATAGTTTGAATAAAAGTCAAGTATTAAAACAAACCGATGTGTGTACATGTTCAATGGATATTTGTTCAATGATCAATACTGGAAAAACCAATCATAATGAAGAAGAACAAATGATGCCATCTAAATCACAAACTAATGAATTAAATCTTCCTTATTGTCAATTTAGTATAACAGTTGCTATAAATTTATTTCATATTGGTATGGAAATTTTGACAGTGAATATCAAATTGATTGATTTAAATGATAATTTCCCAAGTTTTAAACCATTTCATAAATATGAAGTGAATTTTATGGAAGATGATCAAATTGGTACACGGCATCAATTACCAGTTGCTTTGGACAATGATATGTGTTTACATTCACAGGTCACTTATCGATTAGAATGGATTGAAGGGTATTCATCGGCGTTGAATAACACTGAATTGAATAATAATAATAATGATAATAAGTCAATAAATTTATTCAGTTTAAAATTAGTTGAAACAAAAGGTGTACAAATTTTAGAAATTCAATTAGACAATAGTTTAGATCGTGAACAAGTGGAACAGTATGAATTTCATTTGTTAGCTATTGATAATTCCTATAGATCGGAAGTGAAACAGCATACAACCACTCTACCATTAATTGTACATGTACAAGATGTGAATGATTGTAAGCCGGAATTTCATTTGAATAAAACATTAAATAGTTTCAATAGTAGTGAATTTATTCACAGATTCAATGAAGCATCATTATTAATAGAAGTGGCTGAAGATGCACCAGTTGGTCGAATTATTACAAAATTTTATGCAGTTGATGAAGATAAAGGAAAAAATGCCGAAATACAATATACACTTGGTTCGTATACACATTCTCTAACAAAATCTGTAAGTTGATATTCTAGTTAAAAAAATATTTTGGAGCAGAGTTTTGGAGGTTTGTGATTTTACACATTTGAAATCATCTATCAATCATTGTTAGACCAACATTAGAAACCTGGAAGCACTGGACGGCCGTTTCGTCCTGGTATGGGGCTCATCAGCAGTGCGCATCCACGACTCCTGCACCTTGCAGGATTCGAACCCGGGACCTTCGGTATTGTGCGCGAACGCATAACCATCGGACCACTAGGCCGGCATCCAACGGTGTTTATGTCTAACTCTGATCGATCTACGGATATTTACAATGTCGAGTAAATATACATTTTAAATTGTTAAAAGTTTTTTAGGTTTTGATTGAGAAACATTTATCCACAACAGGGAACAGTAAATGATAGAAAACTGTTGTAAACTAAACAGACGGAATTGGATACCGGTCCAAATGAATGAATATTAGTGGTCTGGATCGAAGATGAAGTGACAGAATTTAGGTGTGTAGGATAGTGGATGCGCACCCTTTAAGAAGAGTCCCATATTAGGACAAAATAGACATTCAATAGTACAATATTTTGGGTTCATTGTAGATAGACGCAAACACACCATTGTATGCCAACTCATCGGTTGACAAAACTAAGCGATCACAAGCAAGACAAAATATTCTCAGTTTGATTCTTGTGAACAGGATTGTAAATGTAAACTTCTGAGGTTTCCTTTACTAAGTCAAAACGGATTTCCAATGCTTCGCCGTTTCTAATGGTAGTCCAATATTGACTAGTTCATGATTTCTATGTGATTCTAATTAGTTGAATAGGTTTTGCTGAAATGATATGTTTGTTCATTTGTCTATTTTTCAAAACAACAATAATAAATATATTTTTTTACAAGTAATATTAAATAACATTTTGTTTTTTTTTTAATCTGTCCTGACGTAATAACGATAATGACAAAAATAAAAATCAATAAATAATACTATTATTATTATTATTATTATTATTATTATCAATAAATGCTATTTCACAAGTAGCGTTAAAAATTCAATTTGTTAATTATAAACATAAATGTATGAATGAATATTGAACATCTTTGTTATTTACAGGCGCTTCAATTAATTTAACCTTATTTTTTTTTAAGGACTAAAGTATTTAATATAACATTAATTACAGGTGATCGCATACGTACATTTGTATAGAAAGTTGTTTAAGATTGACCTACAGTGATAATTATTGATTGTTGTGTTTTAAGTATAAATTGTCTACTGATGAAGAATTGATTGAGACTTTAGGGATTTTACAGTGGACTATAAGAGATTTTCACTAATCATGGATATTTTCATCTATTTTCAGGATATTTGAAATATGTAAGATTATTAAAACATGGATTTTGTGATGTAAGTATGAATGTGTGAATGTGATTTAATGCATGAAGTCTGTTTGAATTGTGAGATTTACAACAACATCTTTTAAAGTTCAAAATAAGATCGAATTAAAGAATCGTCTCTAGGTATGCTTAAAACTATTACGGGTTCACCTTTGTCGAATAACGAGAACAAAACAATGAACCAGAGTACGGGTAGGCTACTCGGATCCGTTGACCGAAAAAACCTAACGAGAAGTCTTGATATAGCGTAGAAAGTGTATTCTACAAACACCCAGCAAGCAGACATAATTAATCCAAGCACACATATCGCCTTTATTTATACAACATAGAGACGTCCTTGAAAGAGTCACAGGAATAGCACACTGAAATGACACAGTAACCGGTCACAGCTAAGGCTTTTCCAGTTGGGAAATGTAATCTCAATGTCAACTGATCGGTCCATGAATAAAATCCAAAATAAAGACATTTATCAAGTGAGTTTTGAGGATCTAACATCTCCAACAATTTAATAAAGGGTAACTAATCTCACAAGATTAGAATTATTTAAAAAAAAGCTTTAGATTGATTCTAAGAATAAATAACTTTTGATACATAGAAAGAAGAACTCATCAATAGTTCAGATTCACGACCGAGGTGATTTTGTTACTAACATGGAACTGTTCTCCAATACTTTCTGATTTTCGATGGTATTCCAGTTAAGATCTATGTGTGATTGAATTGATGAAGTTGTATACAGTCACCCTGAATTTTCCTAGAAATTTCAGTTACAATGTGCCTGTGATTTTTATTGTATTTTCATATTTCGGCTTTTATCAAACAAGGTCAATGAGCTACATGGTAAAATAATAACTTCTATGAATGTAGTAGGCATTTGATTTCTGTTAGCTTTAAAGAGAATTAAATAGTCGATTTACTAGATTACAAATAATCTTTTTTATGAGGATTTCATTTACTTATAGAAATTGTTGTTACCGATTCGTAGTCATTCAACACAGATTAAATTGCTTACTCTAGTAGAATAGCCTAAAGGAAGCATGATAATTTAAACCTAATCGGTATGTTTACGTACTCATTCATATATTTTAAAAAATTGTCTATCTCTCAGAAAATGAAGCCGTCAGTGGTTTATGTATCGTTCTAAGGAAATTAAGAGTTATTTCTTATCCAATCATATGTATTTCTCGTTTGGCGCGTTTTTGATTCGCTCAGTGTCTTTGTAAGCTTGTAAATCAGTAGCACTTTGCGTAACGTAATTTATTTAATGTAAGATATTGAAGAGGTTGCTGATAAATATGAAACAGCGTTTGTTAACGAATATATACTTACGAAAATCCTTGCTCAAATTTCGTTTACAAATCAGTGATAAGAATACATTTATTTTATGTGAATATTAGGACAATTTATTCTTCCACTACATGCTAATGATTTAGATGCGAAGCACTTTGAAAAGACTAGGAGAGGCTTGCACCTACACTGACTTTTTGTGATAAACTATTAGAATTAGCAGGATAGTTGAGTAAGTGCTAATGTCGGCGAGACTGATGTAATCAGTCTTCATATAAGAGAAGCAAGCGTAGTTAATGATAGTCCTCGTCATTTTGGTTGTAAAATGTTGGATTCACTAAGCATCGATCAGAGCGATTGTGCATTATTCTTGACAAACGCAGTCTCTCTGAGAAAGCATATGTGTGTTCAATCATCATTGCTGACATGCTCTAACAACGCCGCCTTAGCAATCCCAAGTTAAGACAATGTGTATTCAATTGTGGTAACGGTAAATGAATAACTGACACCAACTTGGAACGTTAGTTTCGATGAAATGGTGGTGAGAATGTCACTCCAACGAATTAATTCATTAAATATTATTTGCATACACAAATGCTGGTTGAAAAAATCCTAGAAGATTACTGTTCATAACATACTACTGTGATGTGACTAAAATAAGTAAAAGAAGAGAATTTGTTGATGTGTTACTACTCTTGTTTGGTGCACTAAAGAAGGTACTACTCGATGTTTCCAGATATTATAAGTCATACCTTGAAACAGAAATACTACTGCAGTTTGTCATTATTATTAATGTTACAGGAACTACTTAAACTGAAATAGTTCTTCGCAGATGTATTTTCTAATTAGATACTGCTGTGTTTGACTTATTTTACTTACTAAATTTTCTTTTAAGTATAGTTTTCATCCTTTATACAATCTCTAAAAATTTCTTTCTCTCATTTGTGAGGAGTATATATTTATATACAGTGGGTGATAATTATATTTGTCTTTCAAAGTCCATGATTCTTTACTACCAAAAGGTAACTAGGGGTAAGAAACGATGCTTCAATGCGGTGTCTCAGTCATAGAGGTCGGTAAACCTTTATCTTGAGAACCTTATAGATTTTGGTGCAACTCCCTCACACGAAGGAGCACGTATACTTTACTTGTAAATCAGAAATGTTTTTAACTGAAGTATCTCGTGCCCAACATTTAAGTATACTTACCTCAGGAACATAATTATATGCACCCTGGTAACACATAAGTTATCACCCTTGGGTCATTTGGTATACTTATAGGTATATCCATCCTTTGGATAGGTAGGTGATCAAAGGGATTTGTTATCAGAGGCTACTTACATGTTACTCGCACACAAACCATCATCAATGCACTTCACTACATATATATACGAGCACATATATATATATATATATATATATATATATATATATATGCATACATATATACGTGAATCTAAGACTTGATATTTATACTTGACCTCAAACCCAATAATAATTATTATTTGAACGTTATAGCCTTTGAAAATTTTTCTCTCTGCACCTAGCAGTTCAGACGTTAGTGCACTGAACTTTTGCAGCTACTAAATCCCAATCCCATTGTGACCAACAGCTCTAGGATGTAAGTACATCCAGCTGACCGATCCCGAATCACTGAAGTCGTGTGATCTGAACTTTCCTTTCAAATAAACCTGTGCCATAGTGCTTATATCAAGGCAATCCGTTAATAAAGACTGACCAAATAAATTGAATCCTCCATGTCAATCAAGGATTGTCTTGAGTACTTATAAATATTCATATTTATATATAATTATATATCATGAATCCATAATCTTCAGATCACCCCTAGAAAGAAACCTGGATGGTTCTGGTGCACGGAGCGCATCCACGACTCTCGCTACCACAGGATTCGAACCCAGGACATTCGGTCCTGCGCGTGAACGCTTAGCTGAGCCGACGTCCAACGGTGTTTTATTGTTTAAATCCGGTCATTTTAAAGATGCGCACTGCTGGCGAGTCCTATATCTGGACAAAATGGATGTCCAGTGCCTCCGCGTTTCTAATAGTGGTCTAACAATGATATAATGAGTGGAACTACGATCTCCATAATACTCTGTTGTATAATTATAAATATTTCAAAAATTTTGTACAATAATTTGAAATAATATATTTATCCTAGTCTATTTTAATGATTAATAGTTGTTTTAGAAAAAGCAAAGTTATAGAAAAATAATAAATTTATCTTTCTTGGAATTTCATTCAATAAATAAATTAACTGCTTTGTTACTACAATAGAAAAAAGAAAGTCGATTTTGACGACTAATGCATTAATTTATATAAATTTCGTTT